ACGCTCAACCATCTGAGCCACCCAGGCGCCCAAAACTCTCACATTCTAATAGAAAAGACAAAAAAACCGACAGTAGAGGCCACGTTTTCTGGTTAAACGTGGCTATGGCAACTCCACAGTCAGCTATGTACACAGCAGGGAAGAGAAGGAAGATCACTTCCCTGGGTTGACAGCTATTTTCCAAAATAATGGGATCCAGGCAAGTGAGGAAGTCTCAAAAAGCCTGGACCAACTATTATGCAGTTGTGACAGATTTACCAGCCTGACCAAGAGATCTTTACACTGGACATTGGAGAACAAAAGGGAAAAGGATCCATACAATATTGCATTCATGCCCTGGAAGTACGTGGACCACAGCGGATCCAGCCTGGGACCCAAGGGTGGGGAATGCCACAGAGGGCAGACAGGTACTCTGTGGCCACTCCCTTCCTCCCCTGCTTACCCGCTACACCTGAGAAATGGTGTCTCTTCTCTTTTCAGTGCTAAGTCTTAAGAGCATTCAATGAGCCCATACTGATGGAAAAGAAGAGGCGTGAAATGGACTTCAAATTCCTCTAGCTGATACAAAAGTCACTTGTAGCACTTCCCCAGCCCAGACAGGACATACAACATGAAGAACAAAGGCAGCGCTTCCCTCCAAGTCAGGATGGCAAGGAAGTTTCCGGTAGGTCCTCAGGTAAGGGCTGGACCATCCTCCAAAATGAAAATTCAAACAGGTGTCAACAAAAGGCACCACAATGACTGAAAAACTGCTTTTATAATGAGAGAGTAAGAGCCATGGACCTACATGTGACCTATCAGATCTGGCTTAGAGTGTCTCCTTCAGCTGCATCTCATTATTTACTCAAGAAGGGTGAACAACAAAAAAAAACGATAATGTACTAAAAGCTGATGAACGCAGCTCTCCACGGAACACTTTAATAAGTAGGTTAAGGTAAACTTGTGTCTAGCTACAACTGTACCTAACTTAAACAAATGTTTACTGTGATGAAACTGGTAACTCACAGTTTTGAAAGCAAACCTCATAAAAGTCTTAACTACCAGATTCACATAACATTCCAAACGGTCCAAATTATATTGTCATATTCCATCACAATCTACCTGTCTTCTACAGTTCAGAACAAATATTTTAACCTGTGTTTTATCACTTCACCTTTGCATTTCTCTCTGGAGAGAGAGAGAGAAATTAATTTTCAGTGGCCTGAGCAGAGTTTACCAAGCAGATACCCAGATGGGGCAGGAAACAGGTTCCAGTAATCTGGTCTCGCCTGAAGTAAAACAAAGCTACCCAGAAGACAGGACCTCATCACACATAAAATTATAGACCAAAAGTCGTGGGAAAAGGCTCCCTTTTCCTCCATCCCATTAAAATCCATGGAAACAGCCCCAAGGGCAACTGAACACATGAAGTAATTTGATGCTAATAAGAGTGACAAATGCAGAAGTCTGCTTTCTTTACATTGCAGCCAATTAAAGGTTACCTCTATAATAACCGGCAGTCCATCGCTTCCTGAGCAGGAGTGGAAGGAGCGGCACCAGAAGGCTGGAGGGAGGATGGAGTGCAAGTGCAGGCTGGGTGAGCCAGCGGCGCAGGTGCCCTCAGGCACCATGGTAACAGAGATCCCCGAGGAGCTTGGGAGCTCTGGTTTTAGAGTTACTTCCATTTGTTTCTTAAATTCTGCCTCCAGAGTCCTATAAAGCCCAGAGTGCATCACCATATGTTGTGCCACGGACAATGCCATGAACATTTCAGGAGTCATGACCAACAGTTACAACGACCCATCACAAGTGGGCAAAATGCTGACGTGATTGAAATGTACAATGTTATATATAAATAATTATTTAAAACAGGAAAGCCGGATTATTTTATTTATTGCTAATATAATAACACAGCTTCTGTTTTTCTTTTGCTTCTTCATTAGTAATAAAGGGAGAAAAAGAGCCCTGTTATGTCAGAAGTGAAAAAAAGACTCCGTGCTTCATAGGCGCTAACAAAGCAACATGGCTCATTAAAAAGCCAATGTCATTTTCTGTAAGTTAAAAGCAATGTATCATTAAAATCACAGGAAGCAATCATACAGCTAACTGCATTTGGTACTGGTAAGAGAGCACCTCCAATTGTACACTCAAATTTGGTGTATTAATTGTAACAGAAGACTTAAAACATTAGAATGTGTCCCAGAGGTGGGGGAGCAGGATGGTGAGGGGTGTAGAAATCATGCCATATGAGAAAACAGTGGAAGGGAGATGGAAGAATGAACAGAGAGTGCTCAGCATGGAAAGATAGGAAGTGTCCTAACAAAAAGCCTTATCCTATGTAGCTCAAAGGGCAAAAGTAAGATCAGCAAATAAAAATTATAGAGGTTTCTACAAATAGCTAACAGGCAAACAACCCCACATCAACAAGTAGTGAGCTCCACATCACAGGAGGCAATCAATCAGGATGTGCTCCTCTACAAAACAGGAAGGGGTGCCAAATGATCTTTAAGCTTCCTCCAACTCTAGACTTCTGATTTTCTTGAACCTCAAATACACTAGTTATTTTCAGAATTGAAACATCAATGCAGAGTCTAATTAACAAATTAATAAAACCACAAGTGACCCACTACTGGATTTTTCAGATGGTAGACATCTATCGCCCCCATTCATGGAATGGAAAGAGAGCTACCTTCACTCTGTTAACATACCATGCACACAGTGACCCAACTTCTGTTGGAATGTATTTTAGAGGCAAGGACTGCTTGCTGAGAACTGCATTCTCACCCTCATCCCTTGAACATGAACTGCACACACAATTTCCAATCCCATTCCCATCTCACAATGTGACACTTAGTTCCTGAACACATGAAGAACAAAGCCGCAGGCTTAACCCCAAAGAATCCATCCTCGTATTTTCTTTCATCTTAAGTCAATGAAACTGAATTTCACAATTTCATGCATTTTTCAAGAGACCTAGCGCCCCATCCATCATCTATTACACTTAGAAAATATTGAACTGTGACAGAGATTGGCAGAGCAGACGGTAAAACTTACTCAGCCACATTCCACAGAACTAGAATTCAGAAAAACAGCCGTGGGTACCACCAGGATGGCTCTGTGCTGGCCACAGGCCTCCTGAAAGCCAGGTGGGAGTCATTTTGCGTGGCTGGTGCCTCAGGTCTCAGAGCTGAGTCGGGGACTCGGGTAAGCCAGGGCCTTCACTAATACGACCAGCACTGCTACAACGTCCTGGGGGTGCCCAGTGCAATGAATTCTCCCCCCAGGCAGGACATGTATTCGTCGCATCCCAAGCAAATTGGGGTGACTTTAAGCCATCTGAGCAAGGATGCTCAACAAGGAGCCGGGGCCGAAAGCACATCGCCTGACTCCAAAGCCTGCCCTCTTTCCTCTCCAGTGTCCTGCTCAGCGGCTGCACTTCCACAGCAGAACAGCCCTGCCAGCCCTGGGCAGACCCCCCGCTTCCTGGCCGCAGGGGGCAGCCCTGAACTGCTGCGTCACTTGCAACCATTCTCAAGCCAAGGGTGGTAGGAGAGGAAGCCAGCGATTATGACGACTGACTTTATCTGTAACGAATAAAAATACATTAAAGGAGAAAGGATCCCTGTCCAAGCAATGAAGCGTGATGGTGGGTCTGTTAAACTTTCACTCCGGAAGGCACTGCTGAAAGCAATGAATTCTGACCATCTCTGCCAGGAAAACTCCTCAGTGGGACCCACGGCTGTTTTGGACGTGAACTGGCGTAAAAGAAATTCTCTTGCGAGCTTCTATAAAAGCGAAAAATAGCCAAAGGCCTTTGCGGAATCAGTAAACCCCAACTTGTAAAAGCAATGCACTAATTCAGAAGTAACTCTAATTTACTCCTTCTCTATACACTGCTTTAGATGACCAAAAATTCAAAATTCCAGAATTGCTTGAATTCACCCTCAAGCCACCACATCCCAGTCACAAGCTCTCATGAGTTCAGAGCAATTTATGAGGAAAAGGGAAGAGATTCAAAGAGCCCTTCTCACTGCCAAGCAGCCTCTCCCCAGGCTGTCACAGGCTTTCATGCTCTGCACAGGAGTGCAGGCGATGTAGAGGGCAGGGGGCTGGGGGAGAGGTCCCTCCAGGGCAAACGAGGGTCTGAGACCTGGCTCACAGCATCTCCCCACCCCCACCTCACTGTGCCCCTCCCCAGACGGGAGAAGGGAAGGGGGGCGGGCGGAGGCTGTGCAAGGTGGATTTCCTCCTCACTGCCTCAGTGCCTCCACTCTACTCTTCTCTATGTAGCGCCTGACACTAAGTGTGAGAGGAAGGAAGAAAGGGAGCGAGATGTGAAGTCAGGACCTCACCAGCATACCAGAGAAATCAGTCCTAAGGAGAGAACAAACAAGGTCTGAAAGTGCAGTCAGCTGTCAGGGGCCTCTTGGCAGGAGTTAGAAAGGCAGGTCTTGCGCTCACCTGGCCGCCGAATGGCTCCTTCTTGGCCGAGCTCTGAGCCTGAGAGGGACCCTGGGCAGGCGACAACCTTGAGGGGCTCTTCTTACTCTGAGGCAGCAGTGAGGACAGGAAACCCACTCGAGGCGACTGGGACAGGGAAGTGTTCCTCTGGCTGCACACCATGGCTCTGGACAAGCAGACACACAAGGTCACAGGGCTGGAGGGGGACCTGAGGGAAGCCAAAGCACAGGCCTCCTGGGCTCCGGATGGCACCAGGTTCATGGCCCGGCGTTCAGGCAGCATTATCCCTGGGACGGTTTCTTGTACCCAAGGGAGCCGGCAACCTCTCTGGCACAACGGGGACGCCCGCGGCGCTCTGAGGGCGGAGGCAGGGCTCAGAGCTGTGCTGCCCACTAGCCCCCGGCTACACGGGCCGCTGAGCCCCTGAAATGCGGTCAGTCCCAAGTGCGATGTGCTGGAGAGCAAAACCCACACTGGAATTCAAGCCTTAGCATGAAAATGGTGCAAAATATCTCCCGAATCCTTTGTTTCTATTCATCCCATGCTGAAATGATGTTGTAGACATATTGGGCTAAATAAAATACGTCATAAAATTAACTGCACCTGTTTGTTTTTACTTGGTTGAAGTACAAATTTTTAAGGGATGTTTCTGGCTTGCCCTTGATTTCCACCCGACCGGGCTAGCTGAGATACTAGGGCAGTTTCACCCGGTACAGCACTCGGCCACATGTAGGTTTGGAATCTGCCTGCCTGGCTTTGCATCCTGACTCACCAGCTGTGTGACCACTCTGTGCCTCAGTTTCTTCAACTGCTACATTATTCTCATCAGCTGGGGCCTCTACTTTAACTGGCTGTATTTTAAGGTTGCCTCTCTTCCCCTCTGCTTACCTCTTCAAACCCTCGGACGGGAGCAAGCTTCCACCACAGATTGCATCCAACCTGTTGGGTGCCAACCTTTTCATCTTCGAGGCACTCCTTCCCACACACACACACACACACACACACACACACACACACTTCCAGAGGCTTTACAACAGCGTCTGTGTTTATCCAGATGTGCATCTGGATGTGTGGGCCCCCTCCCTCGGGGCAGGTTCAGAGGCTAGAAGGCCTTAAAAGCCAGGGGATTTTACTCAGATAGCTCAGGCGGGAACAGCGAGAGCCAAGGAGGCACTCTGGCAATTCCGTGTCACCAGAAACAGGGGGGTCAGGGTGAGGTGACAGGGGACAGAGGAGAGGAGGGACCCCCCTGCTCCCAGGCAGGCACACACTCACAGTTCCGAGTCCCCCAGGCGGTCCATGTTGGAGACATAAGGAGGCAATCTGTGCTGGACCAAGGCCTCCCCCTCCTCAGGCTGCAGCTCTTCTTTCTTCAGGCGGTGGATTTCAGCTTGCAAGGCGAAAAGCTACGTAGCGGTAGAGCGAGTTAGATGGTGCTCTCACCTCATCTTCCCTCTACTAAGGAGCAGGGGGCACATCACGTCCAACACCCAACCTCGCTGGCTCCAGAGGCCCCTGGGCCTGGGCCTCGGGGTGCCGGCCTCACCCTCTGCTCACCGCCGAGCAGGAGAACGGGCCAGTGCTAGCTGTCCCTTCACTGCACGGAGGCGAGAAGCCAACAACTGTCAGACACACAGATCCCACTTTTCCATCATCTGACTTGCTTCTCCTTGAATTCATTACATATACATTTCCTCCTGAATTATATATATATATACATATATATACATGCACCCAAAATGCAAACAGCTCATAATCTTCCTTTTTCTGGAAATATGACCTACAGTTGCCTTAATTTCAAAAACAGAGAAGCGCTCCTCAGACAAAATGTAAAGGCAAATGTGGGTCCCCTGGCTCCATCGTTTTACCCAAGTAGAGGCTCACAGAGCTGAGTAGAACAATGAAATTATATGTGGGTTGTTTACAACCCAGATGTGGATATACAGGACTGCGGGTACGAAAGAGACATAGGAAAGCACATAGTCTTCCTCCTCTCAAAGTTCATTACCATTGCTACGTTGTTCTTGCTACACATGGGACTTAAAATATGAACCTGACCTCTGGTTTCCAGAGACTATTACAGCCCCCAAAGCTCCATACTGACTCTCTGGTGACTCACTTGCATCTGAGATCAGTGCTTTCCTATTTTTAATCAGCCCTCCACCACCACTACCTAATTTCACACACGAAAAGCAGAAGTTCTTCCCAAGAAGCAAGTGTGTTCAGAACAAACCTTCTGGCGAAGAACTTCATTTTCTTCTTGAACCTGGTTGGTCCTCTGGCATTCCGCATCGAAGTTCAGGATCACGGGAACTGGTGCACAAAGTTAAAGAAAAAGCCTGCCTGCGAAATGCTTAAAAGCCCTTCCCAAACTCTTGACACAGCAGCAAAACCATTAAACACGAGTCACAGGGAGCAGAGGACAGACTTGGTCCTGCAGCCTCTCCATAGCTGTATGGTGTCTCTCCCTTAAGCTGGGTCTGGCCTTCCTCCAGAGACTCACAGACACTCACGCCAATCTGGCTGGTCAGCCCACAGAGAGGACGTGAATCTAAACCTGAGCGTTTTCTCCCAAACACCAGCAGTAAGGAGCTCACATTCACTGGGCTTTGCAGCCAGTGCAAGCCAGAGCAAGGTCAGTGCAGCCACTGAGAAGCAATCCCAGGGGCCAGCTGGTCTACCATCTGGGCAGAAGGCTCGGCCACTTGGCTTGCCCCTCCCCAGACCGAACCTCTTCCTAGCAAAGGTGTAGACTGAGGAGAGAGCTTTCTGCACAGTGGACAGTCCCATGCCATGCTATGAATATCCACGTTCTAGGTCAGGGTGTCAGCCTTTCCCACCCCCTTAAACAGCTTCAGTCAAGAGGAGTACAAAGGGCCTCAGTCCTGGGGAAGTGAACCGTGGCTCAAATGTGTGTGACCTAGTTTGCAGGGCACTGTCTTGCACTGAAAAGACCTTCAGTGACATTTCCAATTTCCCTAGAGGGCCCATATGGTCATGTCATAACCAATGGGCTGAGCCCCCTGCTAGTTTAGCCTGAAAGCCCTCAGGATAAAAAGCAGCAGGGGATTCTATACCTGGCAAGGGTGGAATTCACACTCAGACCCACAGCACAAAAGGGGCACCCTTCCTACCTCCACCAGCTGTCCCTCCCAGAGGCCAAAATGGCCACCTGTGGGTAGGCCTCTACAACACCCCATTTATCAGTGACTCACCAGGCAGCTCCCTTCAAACCAGATTCCCTTCTCCTCCTCTAGGATTCCAGCCTAAAGAGCATGAGCATTAGGGGATGTCCTGGGCCTCAAGAATGCAGGCTTTCTAAGACAAAATGGTAAACATGGTGAACTACAAATTACTTACATTCTCCCTCTCTTAAATATCCATACACTTTTTCTGAAAGGTGCTCTGTTTTCTAGCAAGTTGAGGAACACTGAGGTCACTGTCAGGGAGTGACCCAAAAGCGAACACAGGAAGGAAGTTCTAGCCCAAGAAGTATTCTGACCTGCTACCTGATCTCAACAAAGGCAAGTAATACCCTCAAGGGCACAGGGCTTGCACAGACAGGGTATTCTCAAGGCTGGTCAGTGGCACTGAGCAGCAGCTGCCTACCAACCCCTGCACCTGCTCAGCCGTATCTGAGGGCTCCTGGCAGAGCCAGGCATCGTACCCCACTGCTATGACTGTCCTCGCTCATGCATGTCAGCTGTCACTTCAGCAGCAGCACAACGGAGATTTATGATTACCTGGCCCGCTGACAAAAATAACCACAATCTGTCCAGCCCCCTCATGTAACACATGACAACGAAGCTTGGGCATTTTGTAGAAGAAACAATTGCATCAAGAGCAGCGGCCACTGATCACGTTGTCTGGAAGCCCCAGACCAAGCCCACAGCCCCAGGCGGCTGAGAGGATATGCATGCACTGAAACAGGACACTCAGGAAGTTGTGCAGGGACACAATGAAGGTATCGGCCCACTGTCGAGAGAAGTAGGTAGCAAAGGTGGGGTTGGTGTCTGGGGATGGCAGGAAGGGCAGGACAAACCAATCCTTCCACTCAGCCTGGTTCTGGAGCTCTGTGGCCTGCTTTGCAAAGAACTCTTGAGCTTTGTCATTTCTGTTTGTCTGCCAAGACAAAGAGGACATAGCAAGAAGGAGTAAGAGACAGAAGTCCAGAATTAAGATTTGTCATTACTGCACAAAAGAGCGCCTCTGGATATCAGCCTGCCAGGTAAGTAGCCAAATATAATCTACAAATGCCATAAAGGATGTCACTTTTCTCAAGTTCCTTGTAATTTCCAAGAAGCTGGTTTAAACTGAAGCCCCGAAGATAAATGCCATCCTAAAAATTAATTCCTAGTTGATTTTCAAATAATCTAAGTGACTTATTCCCCCAGGTGAGCTATAATCTTTATTACTCAAACTTTCACCCAGCTACTTATATCCTTTGAAACACCACCCAGTCTTATGCACTTAAAACAAGAGAGGAAACAGGAATGAGGAAGACAAGTCAGCTGATCTACAGATGAGAAGGGGGAAAAAAAGGTAGGAAAACAGTCAAAAATAATTTGCACTGTGACTGTTCCACCCTTTCCCAGAGGAACACAGAGAGTCCTCCCTAGAAATTAAAAGAATATCTATTTCAGGGTCAAAGAACTCTCTCCAAGGAATCCCTGAAGCAACAAGCACCTGGATGGTGTAGACGAGATAAAATCGGAACAGGCTGGTTTTCAGCTTGTTGATGGTGGGTCTATATATATCCTCCAAGCGGCTGAAGAGCCGCCGTTCCAGGTAACTCCAATAATCCCGAAGGGCAGCCAAGTCATACACCTGCATTAACTGCTGCAGCTGGTCCACAATCTTGTCCACCTGGTGGAGAAAGATGGGATGGAGAAGGTGGTGAAGGACAAGAGGGAATTTTCCCATCACTTCACAGAGCTAATACAGCTTTTTCCTCTTGCTGTGGCTTCTGAATGTTAAAGGTGTTTTTTTTTTTAATTAGCAATCTATAAAACGTTCAAAACATAGTAATGTAATAGCTTTTGAGTTATTTTCTGATGTTAGATATGTGGTTTGACCCCCTAGCAAGCATGGAAATTTCAAGCATAAAAGCACAGAGCAGGAGACCTGAGTCTAGGTCATGGATCAGTGTCTGGCTTACTCAAGCAACTTGACAATGTTACTTCGACTCTTTGGTCTCCGATGCCTAAGATTTCAGAAAACAAAAACAGAGAGACAACATCCATCATCCTCCTCCCAGCTCCACCATTCCAGGAGTCCTAGACTCACGGAGAGATGCACGGACTGACTCCTTCAAGTCAGGGAAGCTCCACCAAAGCCCTGGCAGTTGCTCAGACTGTCAGCCAAAGAAGTCAACTCTGTGTGAGAAATCACACCGGAGGACACAGTCTGGAAAAGGTTTTAGATGCCAATCCAACACCCCCATCTTACAGAGCAGGACACTGCGGCTTGGACAGCTGGAATCATTTGCTTTTGCCACTGATACCGCTAACTTTGGCAAGACAAGAACCCAGGTCTCCTAACTTCCCCAGGGCTCTTGCTGCTAGCTCACTGCCTCTCAGTTCACCTGTCAACACCAGTTAGACTCAGCAAACACACAAATCACACACATATACATTCCAACAACTTCTCAACAGAAAATCATGTCTGAGCAGGGGAAATATAATGTTTTAAAATGTACAAAGTCTTCCTCAACTGCGGAGACAAAATTGCCAGTAAGTCACTCACAATGCCATTTTAAACAAACACCAGAAGATACCTGAACCCAGCTAACATTTTGGGCTGCAGATCCCTTTGCTCTCAGTGCTAACTTTTGAATATTTCTGTTGCCCAAACTTAACTATCTACCCAACCTTAGCTCCTAAAACCCTTATCTCCATCCTGGCCAGATGACCAGCATCTGCTTGGAGGCTGGAGTGGAGGACAGACACCTGCACCAGGAGTCAGGGCACCTGGGCTCCAGCCTCAGCGATGCTCCTGACTCGCTGGGAAACTTCAGGCAAGTCACGTCCCCTCTTTAGGACCTCAGTTCCTCATGTGTCAAGCGAGGGCCAGACGCGCTGATGTCAACGGTCCCCCCCCCCCCGCCCCCGGCGCGGCGATAGCGCCGCTCCCGCCCCGGAGGGCATGGGGGGGGAGCCCGCTCCGGTCTCCCTCGGGGCCGCCTCTGCCCACACCGCGCCCGCCGGCCCCTCACCCGGAACCCTTTCTCTTTGTCCGCCTTGATCTCGGCGTCCAGCTGCCGCAGCGTGTGTGTAAAGCCGCGGAAGAGCAGGTACTCCCGGACCAGCTCGTCAGTACGCTCCACGGCCTCCGCCATCGCTGCGCCAGCGCCGTGAGCGGTCGCGGC